CGCCTCCTGTCGAAGCAGGAAGATCACTTGTCACACTGAACCGACGGCGGCCGTGAATCGTATCCGTTGAAAGCCAGACTGACCAGATCGGTAACGGTTTCTCGCAGCTCTCTGACTTTCTCCTCCAGGTCCAGGTTCCTCTCCGTCAGGGTCTCAACCATCTCCTCTGATCCCAGCGCGGCGTCCACCTGGAATACGACACGGACACTCAGACCCGGGAAGCGTTTGCATTTTGGAATCTCCGCGCGACTTTCACCTGCTCTTTCAGTTCGTCGACTGTGGCCTCGGCCTGCTTGACCTCCACCTGCAGTTTTTCCTTCTGAGTCCTCAGGGTCTCCATCTCGGCGTTCTTCTTTTCCATCTGTTTCTGCAGCTTCACGTGCTCCTGTTTCTCAGAGGCAGACAGGTCACGCATCCTAAGGGAAAAAAAAAAAAGTATTCAAATCAACTCTTTTTTTTTTTAACTATCGTGTATGTACTCACCTGACCAAGGCCTCCTTCAGTTTTCTGTTCTGCTCCTCGATCTGTTTAACGTGATAGCTGGAGGCGGCACCATCCGAGCCTGCAGGAGAAACCGAGACGCGGAGCACGTCAGTCGGCGACGACTCATCCGTGAGGACGAGCGTGCGGCGAAACGGACCTTTCTCTGAAATGTCATGTCGAAGGATCTCCAAGTCCATGGACAGCTCCTCCACTTTCTCCTTCAGCGTTTCCACCTCCACCTGCAGCGACTCCGCTCGCTCTTCGGCCATCTCTTTATCCAGAGTGGCCATTTCGATGGCGTCGGCGGTGTCCGACATCTCCTCCATGTAGCGGTCCTTCGCCTCCTGAGCGTCACGTGCTTCCTGGAGGACCAAGGCGCATTCGAAATTGGGAAATTGACACCGTCGTGTTGATACGCAGAATCAATTATGGTTGTCAGAAATTGACGTTACCCTCTTGGCTTCTTTGAGATTCTTCTGTAGCTCGGCCTGCTGCTCCTGCATCTTGGTCTTCCACTCGTGCAGCTGCTCCAGTTGGATCTTGTGCTTCTCCAGCTCCTTCAGCTTGGCCTTGTCCTCCATGCGCTTCATTTTCAGCGTCTCCAGTTTCTCCTCCAAGTCCTTGACCTGCGCACGAAGGGATTCCTCCTCCTGGGGAGCCGTAGACGGGTAGGAGGATCCAAGGTGGGTCAAGTAAACATTTTGGACTGCTTCTGTGGCATTTCAAGGATTAATTTTGACCTATTTGCTCAATTAAAATACCGTGAATTGAAAACGTGTACGTTCGACTGACAGCGACATAATTCTGTAGCTCTTATTTTTGACCCACCTTGCTTGGAGTCGCTGCAGCAGAGGTTGCAGTGACCTCAGTCGGCGGCCCGCTAAACTGTGGAGTACTGGGAGCACCGAGCGTGCTCTGGTGGGGGGATAGGCCCATCTCACTGACATCGCCAGATGACAGATTCTCACGAGACGCCTGGCAATAAAAAAGGTGGGTGGAGGAAAACATCATTGCAACTCTTCAATTTTATTCGGCTTCGACCAAACATTTCACCACCACCCCCGCTGCGTGCCCTCCGAATGAGTTCATCGAGTCAACCCCATCTTTGAGCCAAACAGGCCAAATGCACCCGTGCTCTGGAGCAGACGCTTCACCACTTCCCGTGATAACGTGACGTGGCGGAGCATACCATGAGCGGCAGCCTGCAGCGGCCCGGGGGACGTACCAAGAGGGAGGGGAGCGAGATGGCTGATGCCAGACGCTTTGGCGTGCGCCACTGCCACAGTACGATCACAAAGAACGTGTTACGACGCGTGTCGTGTACGCGTCGCAGATGTAAAATCGGTGTCCTTTCCGCCTTTAAGACTAAATCCTTCGTATGAAAAGATCCACTGTCACCTTTCGCTCACCTTGGCAGAACGACGGGTAGAGGACTGGAGGAGAGTAGGAATGCGCGCACACACAGCCGGCGTCGCAAGGTAAGAGGTTAGCAACACAGGAAAAGCAAATCATGTGAGTGTATATTGACTGTTAGTTTGGTTTTTTCAAGCCCCAGTTACTTCCACAAATAACACTAGTGGAATATGAGTGCGTAACCTCATGCAACTGTATCAAAGTGCCTCACAACCTTGTACGTGATGACGTGCGCATGCTTTCCCCCCCCAAAAAAGCAACAAAAACTGCACATGCAAAAACAACGCAAACAAAAAAAGACCGCGTGGCCAAACAAAAACCTGTTTTGGGAACCTCGTGCAATGCCAATGCATTATTGTTATTATTTTTTAAGGGAAGAGATTAAGAATGTTAATAGTTATACGGGCGGTGTTAACACAAAGCAAACCATAAAAAAAAATCTTATCAGGACCATTTCTACCTTCTTTGCACTTATGGGTGTCTGGGGGAGAGAAAAAAAATATTTAGGCAATTTAAAAAAATGACTGCTTTGTGTTTAATTGTTAAGACGGATTTCTGAATTGCTCTTAATGATGATTGTGGCATACCTGTTTAGCTGTTTTGGGAGTCTCTGGTATATCTGGTGGAACAAAGTCACATGTTTGATTCCACCTTTTAAGGCTCCGTGACCGAGTCCACGTAAGGCACAAAACAGTCACCTCTTTGTCTCGGGATCCTGGAAGCGCCCGAATCGGGAGTGTCGGGGGATAATGCACCCGGGCCTTCATCCACCACCTGGATCTGCGCGCGCCATACGGAGCGACGCCAAGACACAACGAATCGGTTATTCAAAAGGCACAAATCGCCGCTTTCGCACATAACCAGCGACATCTTACGAACCTGAGTCGGTCTGATGAATATTCCATGGTTTTCCTCACAGGTGAAGTAGCGTTTCCCCTGCACGGTGCCGTCATTCTTGCCTTTGGGTTCGTTGAGGATGACACCCACCCATTTCCCGGCGGCAAAGAGGGTCGCTCCGATGAAGGCGACGGTGCCACGCTGACCTTTTCCGATCACTTCCACTACAGAACCAATCTAGGAGGAGGGGGCAGGTACTTCCATTAAACCCTTTTAAACATTGAAATCTTCTTCCTGTCAATGTTTGCAAATCACCTTTGGGGGTTTTCCACTTTCCACAGTTCCCCCGCTGCTCATTCTGCTTATCAATGGGCTGGTTAGCTGGCGGGTTGTGGATACGGAGGACAGAAAACAAACATACACCAATGTAGTTAATATCTATTTTCGCATCCTTAGGTAGGAGCAGACCGGTGATAGTGGTCAGTTTCCCACTACTGAAATGATTTGGATCCATTTTCTTCAGAACAAGATCTGAGAACATCATTTCCCAGTCACATGTCACACACCACAGGAGGCCGCATAAAATCTTGTCTTTTACTTGCCCCAGTTCACACAAAGACTCCCATTCAAAAGAACTTAGGTCGTGTTAACGCAGGCCGCCGAATGGTTTTGACCACGGGGGGAATGGATTGAAAAAGATCTTCTTTATAACGAGCAGGAGCAGCCCAACTTTAAAACCCGCCTCAAAACTCACTTATATTCTTTGGCATTTGACTCAGCATGACTCAGATTTGATCTTAGTTTTACTGTTTGGTGCCTACTACCATCTTTGTTACTGATTATTGCTGTACATATGTTAGTTGCTCCATGTACTGCACTTTGTATGCAGCAATGGCTGTTTGAAAGTGCTCTTTAAATACAGTTGAGTTGAGTTGAGTAATACAGTTTGGTCAAATTCGCTTAATTTTCTCTCTTTCACCACATTCGTCATCAGGAAGACTGCGAGGGGAGCCACACTTCTACAATGCGGTGAGTGTCCCCAATAAAATATTTTCATTTCAAATGACGAAATGTAGCGTTTTAGTCAAGACTGACGTGATGTAGTCGAGTTACTTACCTGGGGCGTATACGAATGTCTCCGGTTCATAGCTATGGTCATTAAAATCAAAACGCAAGGTAATTTAGAGATCCCGCCGTTCCCCAAACTTCTCAACTCAAGTGTTGTTTTTCTTCACAATCATAATGGTTTTCCGATCCAGAAAAGGGCGAGCATTGAAAGGAGGGGCCAAAGTGTCGCATCACTAAACGTCACCGCAGAGATGGATAATAATATTATGCTGATTAGCGCGATTAATTATATCACATTGATCGGGCCACGTCACTCCCGTTCTGTTCAAAATATCCATGCCTGGTGGATTTAGTGTCATTTTATTGTGTTGTTTGGTCAACTGACTGCCATGGTTAACAGCATATTCACGAAAAAAAGTGATACAGCAGGGAACTCCCGTTTAAATGTCTCCCAGGATCGTTAACATGCTTTTCTGCTCGCACACAATACGACAGCTTTCATGTCTGCTGGCGATCAGAGGTGCGTTTCCATCACAGCCGCCTCCTATGTGTCAGTCTGTGTCAGAAGTTGTTATGCTAATGTCAGCAGAGCTAATGCAACGCTGGACCTTTTTGGGGGGGCCAAACAAGAGGAAGTGCACTCGAGACACGAGCAGTTTACATTATGCCTCTTCACACTCACGCGTAAAATACAACCTTTAGGCGTATCTTCTCGGAATGTTGATTCCAGCTGGTTTTCTTGTTGCTTCCGAGGGCTTTTCCTTGCTCTGCTTCTTCTATGCCCTTTTAGCCGGTGGGATTCTTGCGCACTACCGCCACCTTTTGGTGCGGAAAGGGGGCAGATACTGTTGGACTGCAGTAGTGTCGTTACTATTTGTGAGCGCTGTGTTTCTTATATATATATATATATATATATATATATATATATATATATATATATATATATATATATATTCTAGTCTATTGACAAGGCGTGCTATTTCCTGTAAATGTAAAATTCCGATTTAATTTTCAGCAAGGTTCCATCCCCTCACTTCCGGTGTCCTGACGAGAACACAGGTTTATATGAAACAGCGCCCCTCTGTAGCGAGTAGAGGCACTACGCGTATTTGAGTTTTTTTTTTTTCGTGTCTTTTAATGTCCAATGCAAAAGTATCTATCATTCTGTCTTGTTTTTCCTGTTTAAAGATTAACTTCATTTGCATCTCCGGTTAAATAAAAATGCAACGACATCTCAAACCATAACAAATAATCATAATTGCGATTGTGCTAATTTCCTAAACTACAACTAAAAATACGTTTGTTCCGTAGTAGATGTGTTGCGCGCTGCGCACCTCAACTTGTCATGAGCCAGAGGCCCGGGCTGAACTGACCAATCAGGAGGAGGAGAGGCTGCGATTGTCCGGCTTGGAAGCCACACTCACCCGCACCACAGCTCCAGTGATCGGGCCGCGCAGCTCCGTGGTGGTGGCGGAGAAGCGCGTCACGACAGCGCCTTGACCCGAGCTATCAAACTGGGAACTGTTGTGGCAAAGCTGGAAACACTTTGAAGGTGAATTACGGTGACTTTTTCAAAACTTTGCGTTATCTGTAGTTTCTTTTTCGAGCCTAAGACGGGTCGTATTTTTAAGATAGCGTAGTTACAATTTAACTTCCTGTTGTGACTTGCAAAATAAAGTTATTGGGTTGAAACTGAAAGAAAATTAGGAGAGCAATCGAGATTTATAGTGAAGGAAAGATAAGCTGGATTCCGGTTTTGTGACAAATTCCCGAGGTGGCTTGGCACTGTACGCATTTGTGCCAGGAAGATCTTAAATGCTCCGGTAATTCCTCGAATGATAATTGTCAACGAGACGGTCCAATCACAAATATAAGCGACTCATTTACATTTTTTTCCCCTCGTACAAACAAAACTTGGGAACATTCATAAACAGTTTGGTGTCGAATCCAGGGCGTGGAGCTGAAGTGTGACATGTTACGTCATTCCTGTGCTTTCATTCCTTGTCTGCACAGAAGAGTGTTTTCGAAGTTCTTCAGAAAGCCACAAGTGTACACGTGCAGTTATTGATTAGTTTGTTCGCGTTGATCGATGTTGCTCAGTAAATGCAATCATAAAAACTACCAACGCTAACCAGTAAATGCCTTCCAACTCATGTAATTTCCTCATGCTGCTATAGCATTCAAAGCTTTTTTTATTTTTTAAATCTGTATAGAGTGTTTCAGCACATCAAGATGACTGATTCTATATTATAAATCTCCAATATGTTCACACCAAGTCACGATTTTGCCTTCGCATTGTTTGGTATTTTTCAAGGCATTGCTGGGCTATTTGGCAGAAATTTGAATTCCTTCCTTCTGAGAGAAAGAATCTACTGACTTTGCAGCTTTACAAAATTTCAGCAGGATGATATCCGCGCAATACTGTGTCACTTATGAAATGCTAAAATTGATGCCTTCAATCAAGTCAAAACTCAGAAAATTCATGATTAGCTTTGAACAATTCCTGCCTGTGTATTTTTTTTCGTACTTATGAATTTAGACCATGTCTGACGTCGAGCTGGTCAAGAAAATGCTGAGAGTCATCCTACAAGCCAACAAGGGTGGAATGTCGCTGTCCCGTCTGCAGTCTGAGTACAAGGAGCTGACCGGTGAACAGATTCCACATAAACAGATGGGACACAGCCATCTGGACGCTCTGCTGGCCAGCATGCCCTCAGTCGTCCGCGTGGAACGCAGTCGCTCTGGAGAGGTGAGAGGTTGCTAGCAGAACTTGGAACATGGAAGACCAGCCTCATCCTCAATGATCGAAGTCCCAAATCATCACTAATATGGGCATTTGTATATCTGCAGATAGTCTATTTTGCTTCTGTCGACAAAGAGACGGCCCATGTTGCCAAGGTGATGGCTCGCCAGCGGACTTCCAAGAAGACTGGACGACCCCACATGGTCAACACCCAGATGAGGGTCAAACCGACGGCCCTGCTTGTCTTCAATGGTATAATCCAAGTCGTTGGATGGTTATGGTTAGGTTTACAAAGATGATGATGTGTGATTGGTTGGCAACCAGTTCAGGGTGGTCCCCCGCCTCCTCCCCGAAGACAGCTGGGATAGGCTCCAGCACGTCCGCGACCCTTGTGAGGAGAAGCAGAATAGAAAATGGATGGATGGATGGATGGATGGATGGATTGTGTGACTTAAAACGCATGAGTGCGTGTGTGTGTGTCATCTTCCTTACTGTAATTGTAACACATTCAACAATGAATATGCTTCGTAATACTCTGAAGTGAGATCATATGAACGGTTTTGCAGTCAGACCCATACAGTTGCCGCTCACATACAGCCCGATGTGACGTCCCCACACAGACACTCCTCTGGTGCTATCGTTTGCAGCGCCTCCACTAGAGAGTGTGATTCCGCAGAATACGAAAGGAGTCGGAGAAGGTGGTGGAGGGGTGACGAGTATTGTAGGAGGATGAGACAGCAATGCTGGGGTAGGGCTTGTGTAGGGGCTGGAAAAGGAGCCAGTGAGAATACGAGATTGAGAATTAGCCGCGAGACAGCAGCAGCTGAATCATGCATCAGCCTCTCCATCGCTCCTTCAGCACCTGCGATTTTGATATTCAGGGAGAGTAAGCGCTCGGACTGTGAGCGTGCCGACATGACGCTCGTCTGCAGGACGTAACAATTACCGTACGTACGCATGGCTGGATGACTGATTGACTCGAAGTATTTGGAAAATGTTTATGGGTCATTGTGACTCTTGGTTGTGAGCAAAAGGCAGACTACACCCTGGATTGTTGACTGTGGGCGTGGAGAGAGGGAGGGAGGGAGCTTTAAATCAATACAAAGGCGAAAGATCCTTAAATTAAAAGTGTAGTGTCAAGAGATGACCTCTTGTATGACACATGCCCTCTAATCCGACACCGCCTTGTCTCAGCATCCTGTGTGTGTACGTGTGCCTCGATGCAGCAAAACCTCAAACCTCCCTGAGGCAGCCGAGCCACCGCGGACGAGGTGGCGCGAGAGGCGGCGGCGGCGGCGGCGGCGGCCGAGGCTCCGGACATGCAGACTTTAGGCAGTCGAAGGACGTGAGGGATGGCCAGACGGAGGGCAGGACGGCGGCGCAACAGTCGAAGGTGGCCAACCACAACACACCCAACAGGTAAATAAACACGTGGCTCTCTGGAATAAGCTCCAGCCACGGTTTGACTATTGACTCGGGCGAGTGGGGGGAGGGAGCAAGCACAACTGACATCATCGTCGGCCTTCAGCAGCACAATGGGACGTCCTGGTCCCAGCCCGGTGTACTGGCGGGGCTTCTGAGCCCCCGAGTAGGCGGGGTGTAAACCTTCCTAATCCCCTTCTATTCTCTGGTAGATTAAAGCATCTGAACCAATACAGAGCGAATCAGCACATCCAATGGAGCCCTCTCGATCTTTCATTGAGGCAGCAGGCATGTGGCACCGCGCATGCGTGCCTGCGTGCAGGACCTCGATTTGGTTCTGTCACAGGAAGTTGTAAATTAATCAGGATGGAAATAAATGGGAGGCAAAATAAACAAACAAACAAAAACAAAAATACAACCCGATGTTGATGCTATCCTTGATCTGCAAATTGAGATTTGATCTGCTAAGACAGGACTGACTTTTAGCTTTGGGCTCTTCACGATGTGACCCAGAGCCAGTACACTTGCTATTCTTGGAAAACTTAAGACTAAGGTCCCCTGTCCAGGTCGGAAAAGAGGATGACGCTCCCGTCACGCTTCCAGAAGGAGGTCCAGGCTCACCTCTCCAGAAATTCTCAACTCACGACTCGTAAGTCTGATCGCCTTTGTTTTGTCTCGCTGAATACAGAGCAAGAGCGAACACCACTCGACACTTTTCAGAGATGCAAACAAACTTTTCACCTTGATTTATTTTACATCAGGTTTTCATCATCATAATAATAATCACAATAACATATGTACTTTGGTCATATATTTATGAATTTAGGGTGACGTGCAGCAACAGGTGGATTTTCTTTTTCTGTGACATCACAGGTAGAAATCACGATGCATGGTAAGATCAAGGTTTTATCGGTCAAACTTAAAAATATCTAATACACCGATGTCAAACTCAAGGCCCGGGGGCCAGATTTGGCCCGCCACATCATTTTATGTGGCCCACGAAGGCAAATCAAATGTGTCAACTTCCATGATGCCGAGCAAAATATCGACCAAAATGTAAAATTCTCATCATGTAATAAATAAGAGACATATTGTCAG